TGACTCATTGGAAAAGACCCTGATGCTGGGAGGGATTGGGGGCAGGAGGAGAAGGGGACGACAGAGGATGAGATGGCTGGATGGCATCACCGACTCAATGGACATGAGTTTGAGTAAACTCTGGGAGTTTGTGATGAACAGGGAGGCCTGGTGTGCTGCGATTCATGGGATTGCAGAGTCGGACACGACTGAGTGACTGAACTGACTGACTGAACTGAAACATTCATAGCAACCTCCTTTAATCTTAATGATCATCTGTTGTAAAGAAGTAGAGAATGGGATTTGTGGAATATGGAACAGCTAAAGAAGTACCAGAGCAGGTGAAGGAAACAGCTCCAGACTCGGGTTCACTGCCTGACTTCTCTCATGCCCCAGAACATGTGAGCATAGGGCAGGGACAGGCTGGCTGCCTGCTAGCTTTGGGACATGGACTGGTTATTTCATACCTCTGAGCCCTGCTTTCCTTAACTGTGAAGCTGGAACATAAACTCATACATACATAGGGTGTTTAGCATAACATAAAATCCTTACAGCTAAGTTTTATCCTATAGTCAAGGAATAAGGCAAAGTATAATCAAATTATATAACAGTTTTAACAAGATAACTGAAGTTTTATCTGTCAAATTTTCACCTTTGTCTTCTGTATTTTGTGTTCTACTCAGCAACAGCTCAGGATTTCCTTATAGCTCACTCCTGATTGTGCTGTACTTTACATCTCTCAGCAAAATAGGGTTGTGCTTTCCTCCACGATCAGAACTAGAGAATCAGGGTCTTATGAATATGACAGTTTTTACCAAAAAAAAAAAAAAAAATAATAATAATAATAAAATGTATGAAGTAGGGAATTTGGCCCGTCTTAGGATCTTAAGACTTTTAAGAAAGTGAAAGTGAAGTCGTTCAGTTGTGTCTGACTCTTTGCAGACCCCGTGGACTGTAGCCCACCAGGCTCCTTCGTCCATGGGATTCTCCAGGCAAGAATACTGGAGTGGGTTGCCATTTCCTTCTCCAGGGGATCTTCCCGACCCAGGGATTGAACCCGGCTCTCCAGCATCGCAGGCAGACTCTTTATCCTCTGAGCCACCAGGGAATTTCACCAATAAAATGAAACCAAAAACTGTATCATCTTTTCTGAGCACAGTAAATCTGATATCAACAACCCTTTTTACAACTATAAATTTAATATTATGATTGGTTATACATTAAACACCATGTGTCTCTATTTGACCATCAATCTACCTTTTTGAGAAAGCGAAAGCCTTTCTCTTTTTGAAAAGAGAAAGGATGGGCACATGGAGAATGAACAGTTAGTTGCCATTAGTAATAATTAAGTTTCTATTGCAGAGGGAGGAGAATTTGGTTGGAAGCATTTAAGACTGTCCTTTTTGGTTGCTTAATAAGCTGCCAAGATTGAGCCACTTTATTGTGGGGGAGAAAAAGTTGAACAAGGAAGAGCTTGGATAGTACAGCCAGCGAAGAGGCTGGAAAAATGTTCAACCCATTTCAAGTTTCCACTGGAACTGTCCATCAATTCCAATTTAAAATGTATTTAATTTCTCTCCTATCTCGTTTGGATTTGACAGGTACATCCCTCATTCAAGACAAAGCTATCAGCTCTTCTCTAGTCAGATGGAGAAAATAGAGTTCTATATTTCAGTAATAGCTCAACACTCCTAGAAACACTTTTTTCAAACGATTTTCTATCATGTATCTTTCTTTTCTATCCCAGAAGACTCAAAATGAAATAACTCCTCTGAGAACATTCTCTTGGTATCGTCTTTGAGCAGCTAGAGACTTTAATAAAAGTTTATAAAACATATTGAGAGAGAAGTCAAGCAATTTATTTGAAGTCAAGCTATTTATTTAAAAAGCAATTTTCTTTCCAAAAATACTGAAAATGTCATAAAATAATTAAAATGCCTTTTTTTTTCAGTTGGTCACTCCCCTTGTATTGTGTGTTAGATCATTTGTGACCAAAGAAGCAGAATGTGTGAGGGAGGAGTAGAAACAAGTGAATACCTTTGATTTACTGCAGGCCCTTTTCTGATCTCACTTAACAAGTAAAGACCACATTGACTCTAGCAATAATTAGCTTTTTAATTCTTTAGACATCAGCTTATCAAATTACATAAAGCCAATTAATAATCTCAATAGGCTTTCATTTTTAATCTGTTTGTGTTATTTTAAATATGTAATTATATTTCACATCTAGATATTTTATGTTTCCTTTGCAATTGACTACTATTCTGTAAATGTGCTTTTGCCTGTACTTTATGATGATGGCTGTTGGGGAACTTTCAATGAAATGATGATGTTTTAAAGTATCTTTTCAAAAATCTGTCCTATACCACCAAAGATTTAGGTGTTTCTCTGTTGTATTCTATTAAAAATCAATGGAATAATTTTGCATTAAATGATATGGAAGAGTACATCAATATTAGGTTTCATCGTAGCCCGCCAGATCTATTTTCCTAATTACCCTATTGATGACAGTTTTAAAAGGTACCTGTACTGGCAAAGTGTCACTCTTTCTGTAAAGTGGGCCAAGGAGCCCACTTTATCTGTTTTTTGTCACTTTTTTTATAGCACTAATTTTTGTTTGGACTTGTATTCATTTCAAAATTTTTCTCCGTGAGTGATGCTGAAGACTAGTTAGCCTGCTACTACTTCTCAATTCAGTTCAGTTCACTCAGTCGTGTCCGACACTTTGCGATCACATGGTCCTTGGCACATCAGGCCTCCCTGTCCATCATCAAATCTCGGAGTTTACCCAAACTCATGTTCATTGAGTTGGTGACGCCATCCAACCATCTCATCCTCTGTCGTCCCCTTCTCCTCCCACCTTCAATCTTTCCCAGCATCAGGGTCTTTTCAAGTGAGTCAGATCTTTGCATCAGGTGGCCAAAGTATTGGAGTTTCAGCTTCTGTATCAGTCCTTCCGATGAATATTCAGGACTGATCTCCTTTAGGATGAACTGGTTGGATCTCTTTGCAGTCCAGACAAGGGACTCTCAAGAGTCTTCTCCAACACCACAGTTCAAAAGCATCAATTATTCAGCACTCAGCTTTCTTTACAGTCCAACTCTCACATCCATACATGACTACTAGAAAAACCATAGCTGTGACTAGAAGAACCTTT